CAGACTAACCTCCCAACAGCCTTAGTATGGCTATCAAAGCTCTTTGCCATCTTCTCCCACCTACCCTTTCTAGGCTGAGCTTCACATGCTAACACATCAATGCTCAAAGTTCCTTTCCCACACTCTACTGTCACATCTCCAGGACTTTGCGGTCTCTTGGATTGCTCTCTAGTCTCTCAGAAGTCTGTCAGTGTTTTTAAGAATCATGTAAAAAATCATCTTCTCTACAGACTATTCCTTATGAGAATTAATTTTTCCCTTTGAAGTGCTCCCAGGCACTCTGGTGTTATACCACTTTTCACAGCTTGGCTTTTACAGTGCTTAGAGGCATGTCTTTCTTCCCTAATATTCTCTGATGTTTGAAACCATTTTATTCATGCATTAGTCCCCTAAAGGTTTGTAACCTCACCCTATACAGAATAATCACTCAATACATGCTTGCTAAGTTGCTTTTTTTTTTTTTTTTTTTTTGAGATCTTATTTATTTGAGAGAGCAAGATAGAGCATGAGCAGGGGGAAGGGGTAAATGGAGAGAAACAAGCAGACTCCCTGCCCAGGGAGCCTGTTACAGGGCTTGGTCCTAGGACCCCAGGATCATGATCTGAGCCAAAGGCAAACAACTGACTGAACCACCCAGGTGCCCCTAGACTGAACTGTTCTTATCTTAGTTTCCCCACAACACCCAAGAATAGTGTGGAGCACACAGCAGTTAATCACAAATAATGCTGATTGATAAAAGTTCTTGCAGGGAGGATTTAAATGCTTAATGACTGATTTTAGTGTCAAAAAAAAAAAAGTGTCAAGGGGCACCTGGGTGGCTCAGGTCATGATCCCCAGGTCCTGGGATCGGGTTCCGTGTCAGGCTTCCCATAGGGAGACTGTTTCTCCCTCTATGTCTCTGCTTCTCTCTCTCTTTCTCTCATGAATAAATAAAATCTTTTTTTAAAAAAAGGTGTCCAAAAAAAGTGATACATCTTGACAAAGAAAAATTTATTCTCTAAGTTGTTTCCACACTGAATTGGACCTAAGTAACAGATGTTTTGGTGTATGGAAAACAATGAGCTGAGTAGTTTGAATATATTTTTATTTTCAGTGGTTCTTCTGGAGTGAAAGAATTTTGGATGCAGTGAAATGGCAGGACACCTGCACCCCAATGTTTCTAGTAGCAATGTCCACAATAGCCAAACTGTGGAAGGAGCCTCAGTGTCCATCGAAAGATGAATGGATAAAGAAGATGTGGTTTATGTATACAATGGAATATTAGCCATTAGAAATGACAAATACTCACCATTTGCTTCAACGTGGATGGAACTGGAGGGTATTATGCTGAATGAAGTCAATCGGAGAAGGACAAACATTATATGGTCTCATTCATTTGGGGAATATAATAGTGAAACGGATTATAGGGGAGAGAAAATGAATGGGAAATATCAGTGAGAGTGACGGAACATGAGAGACTCCTAACTCTGGGAAACGAACAAGGGGTAGTGGGCGGGGGTTGGGGTGACTGGGTGATGAGCACTGGGTGCTACGCTATATGTTAGCAAATTGAACTTCAATAAAAAAAATATACAAAAAAAAAGGAATTTTGGAAGTCGAATTCTTAGAATGTACATGGATTTTTCACGGTTTATTCAAGATTCATTCAAGTACTTACCATTTATTAGTAATGTCTCTGGACCAGACACCGAGAAAGGTGCTGGATGATAAAATGAATATGATAAGCCCTGACTTGAAAGTGTTTATATATCCTAGGGGACAAGTCTCAGCAGAATCTGGGTTGTGGTGGCTCAGAAATACAGGACTAATTAACTCTATGCTGATGAATCTGGAAGTTCTTTAAAATGTACACTTTTAAATTCAGATTATAATATGTATGTTTCAATGTATATTAAAAACAAATATATATAGGCAGTCAGGGTGGCTCAGCGGGTTTAGCGCCGCCGTCAGCCCAGGGCCTGATCCTGGAGACCCGGATCAAGTCCCACGTCAGGCTCCTTGCATGGAGCCTGCCTCTCTCTCTATCTGTGTCTCTCATGAATAAATAAAATCTTAAAAAAAAAAAGATATAACACTATTTTATTTAGAAAACCACTTTAGATTCAGCAAAACACATAAATAGATGCTATAAAGCAGGGCCTGGGAAGATGGTAAGGCAAGAGTTTTCTAGTATAAAATGCAGGGAGGCTTTCCCTCCCGAGGCCATGCAAGTGCAGGGTCAGCCTTGAGAACCAGTGCTCTGCTTTGAATCACGTACCCTAACCTCTCCTGCCTCACTCTAGTTGTGGCTCAGCTATGAATATTTAAGAAAATAATCCTTTTGTGTTATACTCAGTTTTGTGCACTTGGTACACTTCATAACAAATGTTTTTTTTTAATGTTTATTTCTTTATGATAGTCACAGAGAGAGAGAGAGAGAGAGAGAGAGAGAGAGAGAGAGAGAGGCAGAGACATAGGCAGAGGGAGAAGCAGGCTCCATGCACCGGGAGCCCGATTTGGGATTCGATCCCGGGTCTCCAGGATCGCGCCCTGGGCCAAAGGCAGGCGCCAAACCGCTGCGCCACCCAGGGATCCCCATAACAAATGTTTTATAAATTATTTCTGCCTTACCAAAAATGGAGCTGTGAACTCATGGGGCACTGGAATGAGACCTATGCAAAGAGCAGGTCTACTTTTTTTTTTTTTAAGATTTTATTTATTCATGAGACACACACAGAGAGAGAGGCAGAGACACAGGCAGAGGGAGAAGCAGGCTCCGTGCAGGGAGCCTGACGTGGAACTCGATCCTGGGTCTCCAGGATCACGGTCTGGGCTGAAGGTGGCACTAAACCGCTGAGTCACCCAGGCTGCCCAGAGCAGGTCTACTTTTTGGAGGAAGGGGCAGATATTAAGGGAAAGAGGCAATAATATAATTAGCACATTATAATGACTATCATGCTAAAAGCTTCCAACTACTCAGATTAGAATTCTTATACCTAAACTGTTCTGCTATTATCTATAACCATTGACTTACGGTTTTGCTGACTTTGAATAACATTTTTTTTTAAGATTTACTCTTTTTGTTTTTGAGAGTGAGAAAGGGAAAGTGTGCAGGGGCGAGGAGGGGTGGGGAGAGTGAGGAGAGAGAATCTCAAGCAGACTCTCCACCCAGTGTGGAGACTGATAACAGGGCTTGATCTCACAACCCTGAGATCGCCACCTGAGCCAAAACTAAGAGCTGGATGCTCAACTGACTGTGCCACCCAGGCACCAATCAAATAACTTCTTTATTGGAATTTTTCTAAGGTCAATATTGAGTGAACAGTAATATTTCACTCAATATTACTGCATGAACAGTAATTAAACCACCAGAAAGGTCACAAGCCAATATTAATATTCTTTCAAGACAGATTATTTCAAGGATTAGTACTTGAAGATGACTTCCCTTCTTAGTTCCTGAGTCTAGTTATTGATGGGTAATTCAGGACCAAATAGGGAAATTTTGAAGGCATTTGGTTTAAAGGACTGGAACTCAGTAACCGAATACATCATGAACTTAAATTTGTTGTTCTGAAAACTAGTTTCATATTTAGGTACGTTAATAAATACAGCAGCAGGGATAAGTGATTTAGATTTGAAAGGGCATTGACATCGAATAGGAAAGATTTTCCTGTTACACTGAAGTCATGACAACTGGGAATCAGTTTGTCAAGTGTTACTGCCTCTGGGAAATCAATGTTCAGTGTCAGGTAAGATTGCAGAGCAGCTCTCTGAAAAGTTCCAAATACAGATATAGTAGAACATCTTCCTCTGGGATGGCTTAATTCTATTTCTTCCTTACATGTGTATAAGATGCTCGAGAGCTGTCATCCATTTATTTTGGGTTGATTTATTATGGTAGATTTCTTCTTTCATTTCACTTTAAAACTGAAATTTTTTATCTACCGAAGTGTGAGGTGTTGGAACTAAGAATTTCATATATAGCTCTCCATGGAGCCTCGAGAAGTTTGGCTGTGATTGTGACTTATATTTAAAACTCTTTGGGGTGATCCCTAAATGAGGTTCTGCATGTTCTGTGGCAATGGCAGCACACAAAGTCATTCTGAGCTGCTGTAAATAGTGCTGTTTGTGTAGAAAGAGGTTTTTTGTACTGAATAATAAAAAGGCTGAGGCTACCCTTAAATAATATGCCTGGATTTTCCAAGTAAAACCTCTAAAATCATGAAAAAATCTTTTTTTTACCAATGAAAAAGGACAATTCCTAAGAAAAAAACCTATTACTCAAATAATAAGTTAAAATGACCATAAATGACTTGACCATCTCTCCTGTATTAAAAATGCCTATATTTGTGGGCTACACAAAGTCTTTCTAATTTAACTCTTACTAACTAAAGTTTAAAACATCAACCCCAAACAAGTTAATATATTTTAAACGTGTAATTGAAGTCAACTGGGAGTAGAGTTAAATTGAGTTTATTAATGTTGTAATAAATTACAACAAGCCCCTAAAAGTTTTTCTTCCCTTAAATGTGATTCCTATCACCCTTACCTACATAGCAATGTAAAATCCAAGCTTGTGAAAATAAAGTTCATGAAGAATACTATCCTTACTCAAATCGTTACTGGAAATAATTTTCCATGAAAACATTTATTAAGAAATGTCTTAGAGGTGGCTTGGTCAGTTAAGCATCTGCCTTAGGCTCAGGTCATGATCCCGGAGGCCCGGGATCAAACCTAGCATCAGTGTGTGTTTGGGGCGGGGGGGGGGGGGGCGCTCAGCAGGGAGTCTGCTTTTCCCTCTGCCCCTACCCCTGTTCATGTTCTCTCTCCCTCTCAAATATATAAATGAAATACTTAAAAAAGAAAAAAATTTCATTTCTAGAGGTAACATAAGAATATGCATTTATACATATATGTATACTATTCATTATACTTGTTTTCTTAAATCCCAGAAAAACATTTTTAATATGCATTGGCTTGCCCCAAATGTTCATTTTTGGATCAGCTACTTAGTCTGTGTTGGAGACATCAAGATTCATAAATAAATTATATAATCTCATTTATTATTGCAAATCCCAATGTTGCAATCAGAATTTCTAATTATCTGATGTCTTGAATAAACAGTTCAAATAAACATCTATTCAGGTAAACTTTTCACCATCCTTTATTGGGTTATTACCTAGGGTTTTTTTTTTTTTCCATTTATTTATTTTTACCTAGGGTCTTTAAATCACCTTCCTTAGCATCAAATGCTATTTTCACTGAAATTTGATAATTGTATGAACATCACAGTTATAATTCCTAAAAACCTAAATTATAATTCCTAAAAAGACACTGTGGCAAATTTAAGATTACTTTTTATTTAAGTATCATATAAAAGTTATCTCATAAAAATATGCTCCATATTAAATAATTTTAAAGATACATAATTACTTATATACAATGCTTTCAATGTCATTTATCTATTACCATGAATCCTTTGGTCCCTAAGGCTGCCTTTGTTGCCTCTCCTAAGGCTAGATGCAGAGTATAACTGCTCCTGAGGGAGGAGCAAGAATCAAGGGTACTTGGGAGACTAGTGTCCATCATTACTGATAATGCTGTGAGATACCTGGCACCATAAACATGCTATTTAAACATAAATGAGAAAACAAGCTCTCTAAGCAGCCTTCACAGGGCTTTCCATACAAAGCATATTTCATATCAATAAAGATTTAACTAAGTAATGAGCTATACCTAAGTTACTTAACAGTTCTGAGTCCTTTCGGGTAAAGTCAATATCCAGCTTCCAATTTCCACTCTTTAAAATATTTCTCCATTGTCCTCCTAGATTTCAAGGTACCAACATTCACAGTAGGTATGATTTTCTGGGGCTTCAGCCACTGAACAAAACGTTTCAGTTCTAGGTAGCTGCTGTGTTCACTATAAGGGATTCCTGAAACACAAAAGAGAAGATATTGCAGACAAAAAAAAAAAATCGAATTATTTTTTAAAAATACACAAGGCCAAAATAAAATAAAAAAGGAAAGCAATCCAGAGTATTTCTGTCAAAAACTTCCTGGTGCTTTATTTCTGATTTTAAAAAATGTGTTAATAACTTATATGGAGAATAACAATTAAAATATTAAAATGATACAGAAACTTTGAGCATTAAATAATTCTACTGCTTTTCCTATAGCCACTTCATATGCATGTTTATAGATTCTTATTTTTAATTAGGCTTTCTTTTTATTTTTTTTAATTCTTTTTTTTAAAGATTTATTTACTTATTTATGATAGACATATATAGAGAGAGATAGAAGCAGAGACACAGGCAGAGGGAGAAGCAGGCTCCATGCCGAGAGCCCGATGTGGGACTCGATCCCGGGACCCCAGGATTGGGCCCTGGGCCAAAGGCAGGCGCTAAACCGCTGAGCCACCCAGGGATCCCCTAGGCTTTCTTTTTAAATTAGGCTTTTCTCTTTAAGCACTTAACTCAGCTATGGACTTCAGGAAAATCCTGGAAAAAATAAGAGTAAAATTTGAAGAGTGTCAAGCAATTGACTCTTGGTTTCCAGAGCAAGTAAACAGATTATAGTCCCTGAGCTTTGCACACAGAAAAAATAAGCAAAAAATAATAAAAATAAACATAAAATCTTAAAAATCCCTTTATCTTTACTGAAGATCAAGTGCCACAGAGAAGGGGAGAAGGAGACTTGTTTTAACTGGGATCTTTAGGGGCTGAAATTAAGTCATTAGTCTAGGGACATAGCAAACATTTCCGTCAGCCACAATTACAATAAACAATTTCTGAGGACAAAGGCAAACCTCCTCCACAAAATGAGAAAAATGAGTCAAGTCTGTTCCTCTTGCTGTCATGGCATTGAACCCAATCTTCCTGCTGACAGTTTGCCAGTGGCACCTGAGCTTCCAGACTCAACTGCATTGCCCACCCCTCCTCTCAAGAACTTTTAGGGTTCCTCGAGATAGCACTGATCTCAAAAATGAAATAATCTGTATTAGCCAGTGTCTTTTTACTCTTGTCACATTCCTTTCTATCACTGTATGTACTAAAAGATGCAGTTTTAGAGTACAAAGAGCAGAAACTAGATTTTAAAAGATTCTTTGGTGCCTGTTCTTCTTGGATCTTTTTTTTACAGCTCTTTTTATTTTTATTTTTTATTATTTTTATTTTTAAAATTTAAATTCAATTATCCAATATACAGTACATCATTAGTTTCAGATGTAGTTTTCAATAATTTATAGCTCTTTTTAAAAATGTCGTAACAAACATTAAAAGTAAAAAAATTTCATAATTATACCATATATTGAAATGTTTCCTTTGATCTGAGGAACAATGTCTCCTATATTAGTTAACTGGTTAGAATGCGTCCATCCTGTAGGCCGAAAAGCCAAAATCTGATTAAATTCTCCACCGCATTTCTTCAAATGACTCTGTAAAGCCTGTTAAATAAAAATAGGATATGTATTTAATAGTCAGTGAAGGTGGGTTATGTGGAATAAAACAAAATGATCACATTGGCATAGTGTTAGGGAGTGTGCACTTGGTAAACATTAATTTGCAATAACCTAGAGTTGTACTTCCAGAAAAAAATAAAATCACTGGAAAAATAATTTTTCCTTTTATCTAAACTTAAAAAAAAAGTGCAGTCTGAAAAAAAGTAAGATGAGGCAGTCTTTAACATAAGAATTACAGATTGAAAGATTACAATTCAGATAGCTACCAAAGAAAGAAAGAAAGAACTCTCCAAATCCTACTACTATTAGGATACTGAATATACTGTTGGGATGTTACAGATACTAGTATCTAAGAATATTTCTGTTAGAGATACCAGTATCAACACTAGTAAACAGCAGACCAAAATTATCCACATGTATATACGTACAACGGAGGACTGACAGATAAATGGGAATAATTCTGTGAACGGCATTATATTCAACATGTACATATATTTCAAAGACACACACTAGCACTCTTCTCAGGGTCTCACTCCTTTCCACCCTTTAAACATGAACTAGAATACTTTCAAAACTTTTTCATGCTACTACAGTTGGAAGTTCTATGCTTCCCTAATAAATCGTGAGTAGAACTTTCCAAACTAAAGTCATCATAAGTGATGACATTTGATGAAATCTGAAAATCAACAACTAAAGTTCAATCTTTGAAAGGTAAGAAAAATCCAAAGAAAGACAGTGACGGTACAAGAGACACCAAAAGTCTAATACTTTTGGTCTTCAGGCAAAACCCACAGTGTCAAGGGCTTAGTATAAATTTATAATAAAGTTCTAATTTTCTTTAAAATAATAAAAAAATCTAAACTTCACATGGTGCCATCTTGGATTTCCAGAGGTCTCCTTTTTCTTCCTTAATTATTCATACTCTGAACTGTTGTAAAAGATGCTGGTAGAAAGTTCTGAAGAAAACAGACAAATCCATGCATCCATCTACTTTGTCCCTCATTCAATACATGTCTGTTCCAGTATTAGGCCACATTGTGGTGTCAGAATGGTGAATAAGAGACACAGCCCTTTACCTTCCAGAAGCTGAGAGCCTAGTGGGGAAATGGTCAATAAAACCCACTTTCTGGGTCTTTTTTAAAAATGGAAACCATATGCCCTTTCTTAACTTTTTCTAATTCTTATAATCTATTATACCATCAGCAACTAGAAGCCTTGCAGACTGACCATTTCACAAAGGGCTCATTTTCTGTAGAAATTCCTAGAAATGGGATTGTTGAGTTAAAGGATTTACCCCTAACTTCCACTTCTATCCATGATGGATGAGCATGCTCATTTCTCTAAATCATGGCATGGGAATATTACCTTTTAAAAAAGCATACCAATTTGGTAGGAGACAAACATTCTTGTTTTGTTATTTTTATGTTTGATTACTAGTCAGAGGCTAAACATATGATTGTGTTTTTTTACTTTGTTTTTTTTAAAGATTTTATTAATTTATTCATAAGAGACACAGAGAGAGGCAGAGACATAGGCAGAGGGAGAAGCCGGCTCCCTGTGGGGAGCCTGATACAGGACTTGATCCCAGAACCCTGGGATCATGACCTGAGCCAAAGGCAGGCACTTAACTGCTGAGCCACCCAGGTGCTATTCTATATGATTGTGTTTATCAGATATTTATACTTCACTGGTAAATTAATAACAATCTTTTGATTTCTCCTTTGTATCAAACAATGATCTCTTATTAATTCAAATACCTACCATTTAAAGAGTCGTATTTCTTACCAACTACTGCCTCCCCACAAAAAAAGGTTAAGTTATGGATAGATAGCTAAGTTTTCATTATAATCCCTGCAAATTTTTGGATTTTTGTCTAGCATAGTCTAGGATGTAGGTAACGTGATACTATCTGCTTAATTACCAACCCTCTTCCCCTGGTCCTCACAAAGGAAAGTGAACAATACAAAACTGAGGTTTAGTGCAATTACACATTTAATATCATAAAGTGAGAGTCCAATTTCCAATACAGGTCATAAAACATATCCATTCCTATTTGTTTCACAAGATCACTCAGTAGAATTAAGTGAGAATTTCTGCTTTTCATGAAACAAATTAGAGTTACCACAAAAACATCATTAACCTGTGCCACAAACAAAAATTGATGATATTATCATCCAAGCCAAACATACGGGAAGAGGCTGCCAGCAGCTGCTAGTCATTCATTAACTACAATCCGGGAACTACTGCCATTTTATTAACTTTATTAAGAATGATCTAGTCAAGGGGTGCCTGAGTGGCTCAGTAGGTTAAGCATCTGCCTTCAGCAAGGACCTGGGATGGAGCCTTGCATCTGGCTTCTTGCTCAGCAAGCAATCTGCTTCTCCTTCTCCCTCTGCCCCCGCAAGCCACTCATGCTTGCTCTCTCTCTTTCTCTAATAGATCTTTTTTTTTTTTCTTAAAAAGAATGATCTAATCAACATAAAGTCTCTGATTCATGACCTGTCTCTGTTTATTGGTAACCAGTTTGTGATAAAAACTGATTTCGGTATATGCCACTAGAATTGTTTTTCAGTAGGTTAATCCTCTATAACATTATTGTTTATTGTCATAATGTCTTACCACATTCAGTCAACCAGCTTTAAATCAGAGGTGGTAGTCAATCCATATCACATATATGGATTCAGGATGTTGAACTAGATAGCATGAATGGTTTTATAGGGTTTCTAGGACTTTCAAGCCTGCCTTACAAACCCTGAAAATCATATCTGTTTACATTTTCACAAAATGTCATTAGCTCTGATGCAACAAAACTATTTTTGGTGGCAAAATAAAAAAATTGGCTTTAAGAATTAAGATATAACCTCATGGAAACCATTGGCTTTCTGCTTTATCTGGGTTTTTGAAGACAAGAAATTTTTAAAAGTGTTATTTTTTGAAATGTCATTTTGGAAATATCTGGTCACATATGTATCTTTTTTTGTTGTTTATTTGTTTTTGAGTAGGCTCCATGCCCAATGTGGGGTTGAACTCAACTCTGAGATCAAGGGCCACATGTCAACTGAGCCAACCAGGTTCTCTATATCTTAACCTGCACCTCTCTATATCTTAACCTACACCTTAGAACTGACACTAGAAGTTGCTCTCTTAGGATACACTTCTACTATTTCACTTAATCCTCACAAGTAAGTTTCCAACATATTATCAATGTTACTGGGATTAATGTTAATACAGAAAAGACCTGAAAAAAAGAACTCCTTAGAATTCTCTGTTCATTTCCCTACTCAATGGAAAGAACTAGAAGACAATCTTAAACACGGAAGATTTAAATGACCAGACAGTTGCACACTTTTCTATTTTTGTTTCTTTTAGGACAATTCTCTAGTCCCTGTGGGCATTTGAATTACTCCATGTAGCTACACACACATAACAAATTAAAAAATTTTAAATTACACTTAAAAGATTTTCTGGGGCAAGGTTTACTTTGACTCCACTATAACTGAACTCCTCTGCCTTAAATACACGTAAAGTGCGATTTCAGTTTATAATCGTTGTATTATCCTTTCTAGTCCATCCTAAAAATACATATTCTGTGAATGCTTACCTTAAAGTTAATTTGCATCATTGGGAGAAGGTGAACCAGTGAATTGCACATGTCTGTAGTGATGAAGGAATTAAGATCTGGTATGTTGAGGCACTGTAAGGTTTTATATTTTTCTTGGGACATGGCCACTTTTGAACCTAAAACATCAGCAATGGCTACAGGCAAAGGAAAAGGTTAAAAATAGCATAACTGCAGCTTATGAAAAAATTATAAAGTTACAACCTAATCAAAATTTAAAATAATGATTTACCAACAATAACAAAAGAAATTCAAAACATTCACACTTTTGCTATATTTCAAAAAGGCTGAATACGGGATCCCTGGGTGGCGTAGCGGTTTGCCGCCTGCCTTTAGCCCAGGGCGCGATCCTGGAGACCCCGGATCGAATCCCACGTCGGGCTCCCGGTGCATGGAGCCTGCTTCTCCCTCTGCCTATGTCTCTGCCTCTCTCTCTCTCTCTCTCTCTCTCTCTCTCTCTGTGACTATCATAAATAAAAAATAAGAATTAAAAAAAGAGCCATTTGCATTAAAAAAAAAGGCTGAATACTTTTGTTGGTTAACTGTATGAAATAAATTGTGAGAAATCCAGAGAATTTATTTTTAAGGACCTAGTATTTAAAAACTGCAAAAGACGGATAGAAAGGGATAGAAGAAAAGAAGGAACCAAATTTGGAGGAGTTAAAACTCCAGCTTTATCACTTCGTATCTTAATGTTTGACATGATGTGGCCATAATTAGGAAGAAATGGAAAGTATTTTGTGAAATAGTATATATAATGCCATCTTGACAAATTGCAATTACATATTCTAAATCATTTATGTACAAAAATGAAAACTGTTCTCTAAAATAAATAAATTGATGGTTATCCTCAAAGAAGGCAGCAATATGACTATACAGTAGTTATTTTTCAAAGTTCCCTGAAATACTAGTGTAGCCTGGACATTTCCTCTGTAAACATTCTGCAGATGTAAAGGCTGTCATAAACACACTTATCAAGTATTTCTAATAAGTTAAACCTTTCAACGTTTAAATGAATCCACTCTATCAAGTTTTTCTTCAAAGGTAATATTTCATTTCAGGAAATAAGTATCAAGTACAAGCATCCAGACTGAAAGGGCTTTATGCAAAAGAGGATCTGATCTTTATAATATATTAATGTCAATTAGATACAGCTACTACCCACCTAGGAAGACTTTCTCTTTTCCAATAGAATAAGTGCCACAGACAACCAGAACACGTGGGTTTCGAGTTACTGCCTCAAAGGCAGTGTTGATGGCAAACTGGATAACCTCTTGCTGAGACGGAAAGGAATATTCTGGGCTGCAATATCTGTAATATGGAAATATGGTACTTATTAAACGAGCACCAAGAAAGCCACAGCATTAAGGTAGATGCTATTTTAGAAACCAAGCTCTAGCTGACTTACATGTAGTGGTTGTGTAATATATTAACAGCACTGCAGTTATTCCCTTGCCTATGGTTAAAATATTTGTTATGAGTCATGGATAATTTATGTTGGAATTTTATATCTCCAATACGTCTTTTACATTATATATCTTTTATTGTCCTCACATAAAGAAGTTGCCTCTTTTTCTTCAAGAACAGTTCTAGCTGGCTATTTTAGGTATGAATATATACCCCAGCATCTTTTTAACTTCAATCACTATCAAAGGAAATACTAGTGATAGGGATTATCTCTGAACTAAAGAAGTGTGATTTAGTTTAAAAAATTCTTAAAATAATGAAACCAATCATTAATTTAATAAAGCAAATTTATTTATTTATTTTTTAATAAAGCAAATTTAAATCAAACAGTTAATATTCACATGACTATCTGCTCCCCTGAGGAGATACAGAAATGTATATAGTATTACAAGAATATAACAGATCCAGTTGGGTTAACCTCAATGCAATTACACCTAATGAAGAAAGGTTAACCATAAGACTACTAGCTAGCTATTGCTACTTGGGATGAAAATTAAGCATTTTTTTTCACTTAAAAAAAGTCATAAAGTACAAACATTGAAGAAACATTTTTTCCCATTTTCAAAATTGTTTTTGCTGGTCAGCCATAAGAATAGAGAAAACACTTGTCTTTTTTCTGATGAAAAACCAATAAAGAAATTCAGAATTCTATTTGTAGAGCAAAACGAAGCAAAAAAAAAAAGTTTGTTTTTTTTTACTATTTTCTTAATGTATTTAGTGTTTAAAGTACATATAAAATAATTAGCTATAGTGTTAGAAAACTGGATGTGAAAGACCATCTTTTACTAAAATATGCCATCCAAACTCACTTAAAACAGGTTGAAATAGTTGACATAATTCATTTCTAACCAACTGATGAGACACTTTAATATATAATAAAAAATAGCTTGTACCATTATGTTTATAACATTTAGGAATTCAAAGCTGTCACTTATAAATTACTTTTGGAGAAAGGAACAAAGTACTTTGAATACTCAAAAATACAACCACATTTTGGCCTCTGTTTCTTCTTCACAATTACAGTTAATAGTCATACACATACTTTGAAAAGGTAACTTAAAAGGGTATTTTCTTAAAGTTTGCCTCCCAATTTTTCTTCCTTGTTTCAGTAACAGGATTCTCACATAAACCAAAGGAAATCACAAAAAAAGAAAAAATGGAGTTGTATTTGGTTAAGACAGGTCATCCAAATTTGTTCTTAAGCAAGTATGTATTTTTTCAAACAGCAGTTCTCTGATAAAAGCTTAAAATGATCACTGACAAGAAGCCATCATTTTGGTTACCTAAGCAACTGTGCAAATTGTTCATAATAAGCAGGACAAATATTGTCAGTGGGGTTAAAAAAAAAAAAAGGCATACAAACAAAGCCTTTCTTACGTTGTATCTAAGTAAAGCGTGTGGACTTTCTGGCCTGCAAGACGAGAACGTTCCATCGTGGGATCAGCTCGGAAGTCGCCAGTGTGTAACAGGACATTACCATTAGGAAGATAAAACAGGATCATGACAGCACCTGGACAGCTGAACACAAACATTTCAAAGGAAGAGTCTTAATGCATGCAAGGCAGCTGAAGGACTTCAATATCAACAAGTTAATACCCTCTAGTAGGGACCACAGGACACAGCACTGTACTATAGAGGAAACAGCGCTTAAGCAAGTTTACATCACAATAATAATAATAATAATAAAAGTGGTGTGCAGGATAGGATTGATTCAGCAGGCTAGGTTTGTTTGAATGCCACACTTCCTCACCTAAGGCATGTCTTTAGGATTCATCCTTGGCTGGCCCTTGAAAGAGGAGCTGAATTCTTGGAATATGCTGCCTGGTAAGAGTGCTTTTTATGCCTGAAGCATGGGCCATGTGTTACCAGTTTGACCAGATAGTTTATGCTAATATTGTTATCTCTGGTGAATATCTGTTTTGCTCTAGGGGACTGGAGTCTGAGGAGCTGAGGCAAGTCACGTGGTGTTGTATGTGTATGTAACTGACCCTCAGTAAAAGCCCTGGCTGGACTCGAGGCTCACATGAGCCTCCCTGCCTGGCCATGCTTGGCATGTGTGGTGACACAGCACTGCTGGGAGAACTAAGTGCGTCTGTGCTACTCATTAGAAAAGGATACCTGGAAACTTGTGCCTGGTTTCTCCTGGACTTTGCCCCCATTTGCCTTTTCCCTTTGCTGATTTTAATCTGTATCCTTTCCCTGAAAGCATGAGTACAACAGCTCTTCTGAGTCCCATGGGTCCTTCTAGTGAACCACTGAGCCTCAATACTGCCAAAATACATACAGCTTTCATTATTAATTCTGGGAAAACACTGGAAATAATTACTTTTGTAATTAAAACTTCCTTTTGCCTTCCCACCCCAAAACTTCAGACCACAATGACTTTAATGGGGAATTCTATCAAACACAAAAGGAAGAAATAGTACCAATCTATACAACATCTTTCAGAACAGAGTAGAAGGGAATAGTTCATGTGGCCAGTAGTACCCCAATATCAAAACCAGACAAAAGCATTACAAAAAAGGCAAAAACTACAGACCAATATCCATTATGAAAACAGACACAGAAGTCCTTAACAGAATATTTAGCATATCAAATCCAGCAACACATATTTTGTAAAGGATACTCCATGAAGACTGAGTGGAGTTTATCCCAGTGATGCAAGGCTGGTTTAACATTCAAAAAGTCCAGCAGCATCATTTACCCTTTTTAACATCATAGAGGAGAAAAATCAGTAGATGTTGAAGAAGCATTTGACAAAAGTCAACACCTATTCATGATTACAAACTCTCAGCAGACTAGAAATGGAAGGGATTTTCTTCAACCTGATAAAAGGCATCCAAGAAAAACCTATTGCTAACATCAAGCTAAAGGGAGAAAGAGTGAAAGCTTTCCTCTTTGGGTCAGGAACAAGGCACATCTGCTCTTACCACTCCCATTCAACTCTGTACTAGAGGTCTGAGCCAGGACCATGAACAAGAGGAGAAAGAAGCATTCTGAATGGAGAGTAAGAAGTAAAACAAGATTCTCTATATTTGCAGGAAATTTTCAGGAATCTATAAAAAACCTACTACAATTAATGTGCAAGTTTAGCAAGGTCTCAGGATACAAGGTCAAAAAAGCAAAAATCAGTTGTCCATCAAGAGGTGAACAAAGACATCATAGTGTGCCCATACAATAGATACTACTCAGCAATAAAAAGAAACAAACTATTGATACACACGTCAGCATGGATGAATCTCAAAAACGTGATGAGTGACAGAAGCTGGATGCAAAAGAGTACGTACTATGTGATTTCATTTTGCTGAATCTCTAGGAAAGACAAATCTAATCCATGGGGACAGGAAATAGATCAATGGTCCCCTGGGCTGGAATGGTTGGGGATTGACTGCAAAGGAGCACAAGGAAACCTTTTGGGATAGTGACAATTTTCTGTATTTTTACTGTAGTGGTATTACATGTGCTCAGTGGGGAGTTGGCTTGAGAGTCTCTTTCTCCCTCTTAAGAAAGAATAAAAAGAAAAAAAGAAAGAACAAACAGCAACAAAGTTAGCAGACAAAAAGTTAAAAGCAACCTGAAGTGGGAGCACAGGTTTGGATTTTTAGAGATCTAGTCTTAATTTTAATTCTCTAAGCACCTCTGACCATTCAAATCATATATAAAAAGTACGAAGAAGCACAGTTGACAGTTGGATTTCGGTAATAGGATACTGACAGTGCTTTACATTAAAAAAAAAAAAACAAAAAGGGAAAAAGGGAAACCACTTTCTAAGAAAAAAAAAACTTCCAAGTCTTTAGTATTAAAAGCCTGAGGGATTTCTTTCTTTCCTTTCTTTTTAAAGATTTTATGTACTTATTTGACAGAAAGCAAGGGAGAGAGAGTACTGGCCAGGGCAGAGAGAGAAGCAGACTACCCGCTGAGCAGGGAGCCGACTTGAGGCTCAATCCCAGGATCCTGGACCATAATTCAAGTCAAAGGCAGAGCTTAACTGACTGAGCCCCTCAGGCACCCCCTGAAGGATTTCTTTAAAAGGGAAAAAAGAAAAATCCTCTGGTATCTGAATGGAGTGCAAGCTGTTAACTTACATAAGTGATATTAAAGAAAATGGCAAAAAATAAAAAAAATAAGGAAAATGGCAAAAGGTTAGCTCTTCAAAACAGCAGCAACATGTTAAAATATTTTTTTAAAAAATAAGATGGAGTCTCCTATGTCAAGGATAGTAATTTAAACTGCATTAAAAATGAATTAGATAACATTTAAAGGACCTTTCTACATTTAATCTGATTCTGTAATTGAATGTTATTTTTTTTAAAAGGAGAACTGTTTTTACTCAAAGTTTTAAAAATATCAACCACATTAGTTCCAATAAAAAGAAGTTATTAAATAGACGTACTAATACTTTATTTTAAATATTTTTAAAATATAAGCTAGTCTTAAGGTAACTTTAATACTTACTGATTGGCATCAAGCAAAACAACTTTTACACCATTTACTATACATTCAGTGTCCATTGGCAATGGATGGATGTATTGTTTTTGCACGTGAAGTTTGCTCTTCAACAAATTGCCAGTTATCTGCAAAACAGAATGTGCTTATTGCTGATACAGTACAACACTAAATTGTTGTGGGACACAACAATAAAACACATAAAGTTTTTTATTTCAGATCTAGTTTGGAAACAAGTATCTTAGTCTCTCTGTTTTCCCACTTACTTGTATTCATGGAAACCTTCCAGAATGTCAGGAGGACCTTCCTACAAGGACTACGTCACAACTGTGCTTAAACATGGTTCACTGGCTCTCCCTCTCCTGCGGAAAGTCCCTCATCCCCAGATGATATACAAAACCCTTCATGATCTGGCCCCTGCACATTTCTGCAGGTTTATCTTCTGTTATTCTCTTTCTCATGGTTAGCTGTTCTGAATTGTCTCAAGTGCCTGCAATGGGTAGATTTCCCAGGCGTCTATGCCAGTGTACAAACTCTACTCTCTACCTACCTAGGATGCCCTCTCCTCTTTCTTCCGCCTGGTTCTGGAATTGGACAGTCCTGTGTTCAAATTCTGGCTCTGCCACTACTAGCTCTGTGACTTAGGACACACCACTTAGTCTCTCCCAACCTCGGTTGCTTCATTCATAAAAAGAGATTCATTTTATTTCAATAAAAATAATGCAAGAATGCTTGAAAATTAAATTGAAGTTTTAGCCAAAGCCCTTAGTAGTAGGCACTAAAATAGTCACCTTTTAATAATTAATTCAAGGTATCTCTTCCACCACTTTCTCTGACTTTGGCCTGGGGCAGAATACAGCACTTTCTTCTTCTATTTGCTGGTGTTCCATTCAGTTTTCTGTCACAATATCAATCCTACCACAGTGTATTTGCAAATGTATCCCGTGAAGGCTGTGAGCTCCTTGAAGTTAGGTATTTTGCCCTGAAAGTCTTTTTGGGCACTCAATAAATGTTTACTAAATGGAACTTAGGTGTTTTAATACACCATGAAGTAGTTTACTGTTTCCATATAATAAAGCATTTTTAAAAAGTCTTGTGACCATTAGCAATAACTCATTTAGCTTTAGACTCTTAATGTTTTCTCACATTTTTCTAGTAGAATGATAGATTTTACAATGTTAATTGTTCTTTTTTAATCACATGCTTAGAAATTCACTGCATCCCATAAATTTAGAAGGCAAAAACTTACCTCACTACAATAAACTGGAAATGTGAAGTTTTTAGACAATCCAGCATAATGATCAGAATGAAAATGTGTGAGAAAATAGGCTGTGCACCCTTCAACCAATCCGTACTGGAAGGCATCAACTGTAAAGCCAGTCCCTGTAAAATGAGAAGAGCACACAACTGCTTGAGCAATAGCCAACGGAGTAAAATGTGAAAGACATCCAATTCGAATATAGTGAACTCCCTTACATCTTTACATCTGTTTCAACTGAGCTTCATAATTTAAAAACTTATGCCACATAAATTCAGCCAAAAGAGGATACTACAGATGAAAATGAGTCTTTTAAGTTTATGCTAAATATCCCAGTATTGGCTCTTAAAAAAATTTTTTATGTACTTTATTTTTTTTAAGTAGGTGCCACATCCAGTGTGGAGCCCAACAAGGGGCCTGAACTCACGACCCTCAGATCAAGACCTAGGCTGAGATCAAGATTCAGATGCTTAACCGACTGAGCCACCCAGGCTCCCACTGGCTTTTTTTTTTTTTTTAATGAGCAACTGTACCAAAAAATTTAAAATACTAAGTTACAAACCAATTGTTTTACTGATCTAAAATCCTTTACTTCTGCAAAACTGCAAAAGGAAAATGCTCATTTTCTTCTTATTTTATTCTACTGTGGCAACTGATACTGGAGGGTACAAACGGTCAAAGGCCCAAATAACCATACATATTACAGTGGTTGTGGCCTCCACTGGGTCACAGTACAATAACTGATGGACAGCATATCTGTAGTATTTGAATTTCATTGTGGGGGATGGGAGGTTGGAGGTGAAGAAAGGAAACAAGAAAATAAATTCCAAAAAAAAAAAAAAAAGGCTACCTGAAGAAGCAATAAAGAAAAAAAAATAGAGCTGAGCTGTTTTGAAAAGTGTTCATGAAAGAAATAAGCACCACATGTGTAAACTATGATACCTAAGTCAGTAAGCACACCTTCACAATCCCACTGAGGCTTAGCCACACATGGCACACTAGTCTCAAGCTCACTTACAATATAGAAAATTCATCAAATAAGTATTAAAAAACAAAACTGGTGCTGTAAGGTACATAAATGATATGCCCTATATAAACATTTTGAGCAAATTACAGATTGCAGCTATTGAAGTACTTTGCACAATCTTTCTGAAACCAGGTGCATTTTGGCAGATTTTATATTATTTTTAGAAGAATTATTGGTCTACAATAAAGTTCATTTTACTACACATTTTTCTAACTCGTCTATGAAGGCATGAGAAATGACAAAATATAAAAAAGGCTGAGGAAATAAGTTATGATTTAGAGGTTAAAAATGTTTGACAATTATTATGACCTATACAATCTGTTAATTTTCCTTCTTTGAAGCTATTTAGTTTTTTTTAAATTTTTTTATTTATGATAGTCACACAGAGAGAGAGAGAGAGAGAGAGAGAGAGAGAGAGGCAGAGACACAGGCAGAGGGAGAAGCAGGCTCCATGCACCGGGAGCCTGACGTGGGATTCGATCCTGGGTCTCCAGGATCGCACCCTGGGCCAAAGGCAGGCGCCAAACCGCTGCGCCACCCAGGGATCCCTATTTAGTGCTTTGTATTTCTAAGTGCTTAGAGACCGTTTTAATTAAATTTTATTATAATTTATATGTTTTTATAATTACTTACAGAGAGCCTTCCCTCCTTCCACATTAAGCTGACCTTTACTCATCTGTGTCCAATCTGTAAAATTTATATACGAGTATCTTGTGTGCAAAATACTATATATTTATACTTAATAGATATATTTATATATTTAATGAAAGTTTGCTGATTGGGGCAAAAACATTTAAATAGGCAAAAAAAAAATCTATGTTACATATCAATGAAGTATAAAAAAATCAAAAGAAATACACAAAATTGTTCTATACAAATACACGCAGACACAACATGGGTAATAAACATGAAATTTTTAAAAGTCAATTTTTTTGTAGATATGTTAAGCATTGGTATTTGAACTTACCAGGTATTTTCTTATAGAATGGACATGTCTTTTTTCTTAACTGTCCTGCATTAGGTGACTCTGGAATTTTCATATTCCCTCTCTGCAGCCTGCCACAAGCTGATTTTATGGAGACTTTGTCTTTCTTTAAATTGACTGTTTTGGATTCTGTCCTGTTAAGGTGATGTGACCGCTTCTGAGGTGTTCCTTCCTCTAGTGAATCTGACTTTTTGAGTCTCTTTCTTCTATGTTGTGGCCTCTCATTAGAAACTTCCACAGAGGGCTGACTCTCATTCAAATTCTTTGCATCAAATTCTAAATCACTTAAAGATTTTTCTGCTTTTCTCTTGCGCTGCCGGGACCTCTTTTCATTAGGACTTACAACTGGATTCAAGTTCATCCCTCCTACTGCACTTCCCCCCAGCAATTTCTCTTCCTTTCTTTTTGGGGGTAGTCCAAAATAAACACCTATATCCATTTGTTTCATTACCTTGGGAGATGGCTGTGTTGCAGGACACTTGGGACCAGATGGTGACATTTTCAGAGACTCGGCAGCAGTAGGTGCGCCGGAAGATTTCTCTGTATTTGGAACCGTAACTTTACTGTCTAGTCTACCACCTAATGCCTTTCTGCAGACACATGCTGAGTTAGTAGTGTTCTTAGCACTGAAGTTCTTACTTGATAATTTTCTTATTTTACTTTGGGTTGGATGGAAAGATAGATCCCCTTCTTCTTGGCTTTCGATTGCCTTCAGGATCTCACTATTAAGTGATGGAAGAGGAATCTGATTGCAAACACCTGATTCTTCAATGACATGTTTCTGTTTATTTGATTGAGATGGGTGACGTTCTGGCTTTCCAAGGTTTGCTTTAGCAGCTTGATAACTAGAAGTAAGCCCCTGTGCTAATGCAGATGGAAACAGCACAAAATCATGACCAGGATGTGCTGGATCCTCACATGAAATAACACTTCTATTTTGGGAAAAAAGTTGAGATGAACCACTTAGAGTGTTGTATTTATATAGTACTTCATGGTATTTATCCTGAATTAAGAAGCTGTCCATGTGGGGGCCACTTTCCTGCTGGTCCATCAGGAAGGCACCATGGAGTTTTTGAGACAAAGTAGAGCTGTTGTCATCCTCTTCCAGGCTGCCATCTTTAGAGCTTCCCGTAAAAAAGAGTTCCTGCTGCGAATCACCCAGCTTTTCATCCATAGTGTAAGTCTCCTCGTCACTCTGAAGCGGAGAATAAGAGATTTCACAGCTGCTAAAGTCATTTTCTGGCAATGGGGAACGTATGTGTTCTGAGTTGCTTTGGATGCCTAGTTCCTCAGCAAGAGGGAGACCTACTCCTACCAGTTTGTCATTATTAATACCTTCTGGAAATTGTGGGGTTTGTTGGGACGTTTGGCTATTTGTCGAAGAAGAAATCTTTTTATTGGTTTCAGTTGGAGATTGAAATTTCCTGAGACACGGTGTCACTAATGAGGGATGAGTTGAAACATTTAAGTCTTCTGATTGCTTCCAAGGCAGAGACCATCTTTCCTCAAGGCCACAGAGAAAGCCTGAGTTAGTCTCATGGCAACAATCCCCTGACGGATGGGCTGGGCTGCTGACAGGACTCCTGCTCGCCCTGCTCTGAGCCAGCAGGAGGTGAGTGTATCTCTTGAAATGAGAAGGAATTGTTGAGGTGCACAGGAGACCATCAGGACACTCTGAAAATTTTAAAAAAGAAAAAAAGTAGCGCAGGATCAAAGCCCAGTGTTAACACGGAAGTGATAAGTTACCAACCATACTTTGAGGCCTTAAGAACTTATCTTTACACAATCAAAATATCTGGCATAAAATAACAGTAATCCAGTATGGTTTTGCAACGCGCTTATTATTTTTTAAACAAATACTTAAGATTTATTTTCAGATAATCTTTTTCCAAAAAAAAAAATGTTGTAAGACTAACACCTTTTCTTCCCTTTAAATAACTCTCAAAAATATGAGCCCCTTCAAAACTCAGTTCATGTTTACACAAGGTATTCACAGGCCTTCCTGGTTCACCATCGCTCTGGCAATAGGGAGTGAAAAAGACTAGTGTGTCTCTCAGAGAACTAAAGTTCTACCCCAGTTTTTGTCTTATCAAGCAATACAGATTTGGGACGATTAGAGTACCCTATTAGGGTCCATCATTTAATACTTACACTGCATACAAGAGTAACAACAATCTTAGTTATAGCTCTTCATACACTAGAGTTTAGATTCTAAGATTCGAAATTCAATTTGGTAACTTGTTAATAATATGGCTTTAATAACCTGGAAACTATTCCCGGTTATACTATTATAATTGAGAAACATTCTGTAAACTATCTTGGTATATCCCCTTCTGTGTTAATTTCCAGGTTTTTTTTTTTTTTTTTTTTTTTTTTTTTTTTTTTAGGTTTTATGTAAGTAATTTCTACACCCAACATGGGCTCCACCTAACAACCCTGGGATCAAGAGTTTCATGCTCTTCAGACTGAGCCAGCCAGGTGCCCCAATTTCCAGGTTTATCAAAAAATGACCCATTTTCCCTCCCAAAAAAGACTGGTTACATTAAATTAGAAGACCTCGTCGATGAACATAATTTAAAATCATCACATAAAAGTATTTGTTATGGCACAGAATTCAGTTCAAGAAGAGTCCATCCGCGATGCTATTCAAAGTAGTTTAGTGAAAAATCAAAAGAAAAATCTCTTTGAGGTGGCTTTCTCATAAGACATTTTACCCTGAGCTGCTCACCATAGGACTCCAACTTCCATTTCTGATTTTGAAGCCACTTAAAAGCAAAATACTAGCATTTGATGAGACTTTTGCTTTACATGGAAAAAAAAGCTAATGCCAAAATTTTTTAAAGTTCTTTTGCGTCTTTATGCAGCACTTTAAAATAACTAGAGGTTAATAATAAAACGTCTCTGAATCATACATAACATGAAAGCCATACTGAGTAGTATTTTTATTTTTGCTGAATTTTAATTCTTTGAGATTATAAAAAATCCATATATGGTATATATAACTTTGAAATATACAAGTCATCATAACAACCCATTCTTCAGGTACTCCAAGTAGGACTACCTGTTAAATATTATATAAAAGATAATAAAAGCATAGCATTACTTCAGTTATCACTTGGCACATTTTTAATTTGAATCTTAAAAATGTAAGGCTCCTTCCCAGATCTTCTTCCTTTACCATAGCATGACAAATTCAACAGAATCCTGTTTAGAAGACTCCTAATTCTCTAAATTTGTTTCACAAAAGATAATACGCATTCTTTTAAGAATGCTCATCTATAAAACATCAATACCACTTACTTTTTGCAGTTCTTGTGAGAGGCAATAGTGAAAGCATCTAGTAGAGTATGTGCTCAATTAACATTTATGAAAAATCACTGAGATGTTTAGGAACTTCTATGACACAATATAACGCATTTCAACTGTTTTCAAGTTTGCAACATTCTTTAAAATTATACCATTAACTATGATCTTTTTTTACCCTTCTCAAGAAGGGTTTCCTCGTTTCCTTCCAGGGTAAATAAATTATTGATACTTTACTGCTTGCCTTGCTTGTTCCACCAGACTCCATCTGGCTTAATGCAGGTCTTTTAGACTATTTAAAGACCACTCCCTTTTTTTGTAGTCTTACCTGTTTCAGAGACTGGTGGAGAATCCAAACACTCAAAAACATGCCATCGAGGTGTCTGACCTAGCAATGAGGAAAAAGGCATCTGGCAGTTTGGGCAGTATCCATCATAAACTGGACGTATCTTTGGTGATACTTGTTTATTTTTGAGGGTCCTACGGTGCTTTCCTGGAGTGGTTTCCTTGTCTTGGGACTGGTGAATACCATCGCCACAACTAGAATTCTGACTAGAAGCTACGGAAGTCTGACTACCTGTTTCTCCAAGGCACGTTTCAGGGTCCTTTGTCTTCTCTTGGGCTTCTACAGTTCTCTTTTTATTTCTCTTTCGTGTCGACTGGCATTTTCCATGTGTTGCTTTTTCAACAGATTTTCGAATATTCTCAGAGCAATTGTTTGTATGTACTGATTTGGGTTTTCTTTTAGACTTGTATTCCCAGATGTCTTCTTCCAAAACATCTTCTAACATGGCAAAATGATTTTTTTTTTTTTAGCAAATTAAGAATCTATTTCTGGTTATAAAAAAATTTTAATGGAAATATATTTTGCTGAGAAAAAAAGAAGGTAACTTGATGGGAATCTAAAGCTTTGGTAGTGGATATATTGGCAAACTACAGACCTTACACCAGCAAGCACCTGCTATTCCATTTATGCCACAATAAAATTAAGAGAACCTACCACAGGGGTAGCCTCTGAGAAGTTTCCCATTGTGACTACTATTTCATTCAAGTGTGTTGGCCTTTCCAAGGACTCGATTCATAAATATAAGAATCAGTAGCACTTGGAAAACCAAGCGCTAAGAGGAAGTATAGGTTCAACGGCTTAGCTTAGAATGAGGTTTGCACAACAGTTATGATGAAGGTTGGTCCCGTGGGTTCCCTTTGAACTGGACAATGCTCCAAATAACTCACAAATGCCACAGTCCCTGGGCAACTGGTTTAGCAGGTTTCCCGCACATTAAAAGGCTGTCTCAGCTCGCTAGTACCACCATGATCACACACCAGAAGCGAAGGGGTGTGTCGTTCAGGCGGGGTCGGGGCGGGGCGGCGGACTGGTAATCGATTGCCTGCATCCGTGACTCTTGGATATTCGATCACTTCACTTTTCCTGGGCCAGTCCGATCATCTTCTTCCAGCAGCGAGGAACCAACACTGCACAATGAACAAACAAGATTCAAATGCATGAAGTTGTGTTTGCACCGAGGCCACCCACACTGCGCTCCTAAGTCCACACTGCAGAAGCGGCCCGCCCCAGCGGTGGCCAGCCTCGCTCTCCATCAGCCTCAAAAACCAAGGTTCACCTGCCGGGGAGGCCTCCCACCGGCTCCGCCTGGTCTTTGAACTCTGCAGGCTGCAAGGCCAAGGAGCGGGGCCTTACGCTTTGCAGGGCGGGGAGACAGCGAGCTGCGGGCACAGCTGGTTCCATAAAAGCTAGAGAACCGTCCGCTGCTGAAGTCGGAGGCCAGCCCTCCCCCTCCCTCCCTCCCTCCCCCGCCTCCGGGATCCTCGCCTGAGCCCACCTGCCCCCCGCACACCCTCGGGAGCAGCTCCAGCTGCGTCCGCTCCCCTCGGCGCCCCCCTCCCCCCTGCTCCGCTGGCGAAATGTTCGCGCTCGCACTTTCAGCTCCGCGGGGCGACAAGATAACGGTGTCCGGGTATAAGCCAAAGCCATCGCCAGTCACTCCCAACTTAAAACAAACAAACAAACAAACAAAAAAACACCTATATCAGGAGGCTATTCCTACTCCCCCGCCCTTTACCTTTGGTGTCTTGGCGGGAACAGCTGTTCCCCTTGCTAGTGCTGTGTCGAATCGGCTGACCCCGGTCTCAGGGCGGGACTTTGAAAAAGTTTGTGTCCTTTTTAAATCCTACGGATTTATTTTATTTCCGCTTTGTTCTAAAACCCGCTAATTTCCAAAGTGAGGTGTGTGGGGGTATAGGCTGTCAGGGCTCCCGGAATGCGGACCCGGAATCTCGCCCCATGCTGAATCTGGCGCTCCGAATGTCCAGCCGAGCCGGGGAAACGCTCTGGAAGGGGCGGGGTGGTTGGGGCCGGTGGTAAAAATTACGGGGCCCCGGAATTCCAACGGTTTGTGCCTGAGCCCTGGAATGCACGGCCACGGGAAAGAAAAAGGTGTCGTGTGCGTGGAGTGCGGGGCTGGCGGAGGGTGAGGTGAATGTGCCGTTGTGAAACGGAAGGCCGGCCAGCGCTTCCTCTCGCCCCACACGAGACCCTCCCGCGGGCCCCCGCGGCCGCGCGTGGACTGTCCGGAGAGAACATGGCGGCCCCCAGAGCCCGGGGCTGCAGCCTCGCGGGCCTGCTGCCGGCGCAGACCTCGCTGGAGTACGCCCTGCTCGACGCCGTCACGCAGGAGGAGAAGGACAGCCTGGTCTACCAGTATCTGCAGAAGGTGGACGGCTGGGAGCAGGACTTGTCAGTGCCCGAGTTTCCGGAAGGTGAGGGGCAGGCTCCGGGGTGGGGACCCCTGCCGGAACCTCCCCTTGCTGGGGGCCGCCGCCCTCCGCTGAGGCGGGGGCGAGGCGGGGGCGAGGCGGGGGGCGGGGGGTGCGACCGCGCGGCCGGGGCGCCTCGGCTGCCCTGCGGCTTCCCCCGGTCCCGAGGGTGGTCCCCCGGGGCGCGGCGACGTGCGCCTCGGCGTCCGCCCGGGGCTCGCGGGAACCCGGCGGACCTTCCATGCCTGCCCGCTCCTTCCCATCCTCTGCGCGCCCTGCCGGCGTTCGCGGCCCGCTCTGTGCTGCCCACGGACGTCAACGCCCACGGGGACTCTCGTATTTACTCCTCCCCTCCCCCCCCCGCCCCCCGGTGGCATCTGTTTTATCGTGGGGGAAACTGAGGCACAGGAAGGCTGGGTAACTGCCCGAGCCGGATGCCCCGGAGCCCCCGGACCGGCGTGCGTGTCCGCTGTGAACCGTTCTCCGTTCAGGGCCTTGGAACTCTGTGGTCATTTTTCCTTTTCTTTTTTCAAATCGAATCGATCACAGCCTGTCCCCAGGGTTCGGACGCCAGCCGAGTGTTTGGAACACCCGGGAACTGATATTCCCAGTAGCGCCCTTTGGGAAAGCACATCTTGCCGGTGATAAACGAAGCCGTACTTTGCCTTCTTTGGTTGGGACGGGCCTTGTTTTGTTGGTGTTGGCAGGTCTCCTGGGCGGACACTGACACCACATGTATAGTTAATGGGTTGGGTATGGCCGGGGTCAGTATCTCATGGGAGATGCAGCAGAACCTTGCCTTTCACAACAGTCTTGTGTGGCTTTCCAAGCCTTTTGCTCCCACCTTCGAACGTGCTTTTTTTTTTTTTTTTTTCCCCGTTACTAACCCTATACAGAATCTGAAATATTGGGGGGGGGGGTGATGGCAGGAGAATCAGGTGCAAGACTGCTTATCCCGTCAAAGACACTAAGAGATGAGACATGCGCATATTCTTTAAAAAAAGTTTGTAAGAAAAAAAAATAATAAAATAAAATAAAAAGTTTGTAAGAAGTTAGTTACATAACATCGTGCTAGAAAGTAGCGGGAGACCCGCTAGGTTTGGGGACGGTGTTTTTATTTTCTAGTGTTGTTTATATATTCGCAGTGGGTGTATTTTATTACCAGGAGATAGGACCTTAGTGACTCATAAATAATACAGCAAACTATTCAGGCTTCGTATCTGACGTAGTCAGATTTTCTGCTGGATCTGATTATTGAGCTCAGGATACTAGATAACCGGTTTCTTCTTGGTTTCATTATCGGTGAACTAGAATCAAGAAGTCATAAACAGGGATCCCTGGGTGGCGCAGCGTTTTAGCGCCTGCCTTTGGCCCAGGGCGCGATCCTGGAGACCCGGGATCGAATCCCACATCGGGCTCCCAGTGCATGGAGCCTGCTGCTTCTCCCTCTGCCTGTGTCTCTGCCTCTCTCTCTCTCTCTCTCTCTCTCTCTCTGTGACTATCATAAATAAATAAAAAAAAATAAAAAAAAAGAAGTCATAAACATACTCTATCTCAGAAACAAGTGTACTTTGTTCATCTCTTCAAAGAGATATGTTTATGGGAAACTGTGGTATAAAGGATGATTTCAGACAGATCTGGGATGAAATCCTAGTTCATTTGTTGGCTGCACGAGCAAGGGACTTGATTTTTCCAAGCCTTATATGACTTCCTTATAAAATAGAACCAGTATTTAGCTTTCAGGTTAATTATGTGGATCAAAGGTAATATAGCTAAAGTTCTTAGTTTGTGTGATATCTCAATAAATGTTGATGGCTTTTTAAAATTATTTTCATTGTGATTATTGTTATTGTAAAATTTATCACTATTGTTATTATTAAGCCTGGTAAGCCCAATAACTGACACGCAAGAATACTTTCTTTACCCTCCAGTCTAAGTCACACTTGACCTTTTACAGAAAATACATTTAAAAGACCGATTCATAAATATTTTGCAATTAAAATATGAAATATACATTAGTTTGAAGTTTTATATAATCGATCTGGTATACAATGAACACTTTATTAAAATGCATAATTAAGAGCTCACTCTACCCTAAAACCTTACTAGGTGGGACTAATTAAGGCAGAAATGCTAGTTTGATTTGCAGCTATTAGTTTTTTTTTTTTAGGATTTTGTTGTGAGTAACTCCAGTGACTGTTATTAGTCATTAACTGTTATTATTCACTTAATTCCACCCAACTTTGGCTTTCAGTTTCTATAAACTGTTTCCAAATACTCGCTTTGAGATATAATTTAGTGGCTGCATTTACTTACAAATAATAAACTCATTATCTTTGTTTTTCTAAATTGGTAAATAGAGATACTGTACTTTAAATTTTTAAGAAAAATCTTTATAGTGCATAGCTAAAATTGTAAGTCATGCTCAAGTAATTATAAATTCTGATTTACAAAAGTACAGATTAATGAGATTCCATTTTTCTTTGGAGGGAAGGGAACACATTCTTCATCGATATTAATGTTGCTTCCATGAAATCTATAATAGTGCATTTTGCTTAACTTTGCATTTAAAGTATTTTGTATTTAAGGTCTTATTCAAATCCAGAGCACTTTAGTTCGTATGAAATTGGCTTAGGCATTTTGTATGTTTATATTTTAACACTTTGCTCCTTTTTGAGTTTAGTCCTGTCTCGAAATTCTTAAGATTGAGCTTCGTTCTCAAAGCTCATTTGAACCGGATTGTGTCCTCTTAATATCTGATATTTACTCTTGTTTTTTCCTAAATGTGTTGGATCTTGCTTTCTTTCACACACAGACTATTTCACTATTTCTGAAAGAATCTAGTCACTTTTTTTTAAACTATATTTGCATACTGCCCCATAGTAGCATCTTTCCCATTTTACCCCAACCCCTCATCCCTTCCTTAGAAGTAATACTGGTTTACATACATTTCAATGGAAAGTTTTAGATGATTATCCTTGCCTTTTCCTTTAATCATGATAATTTATTTTGTGTAAATTTCAGGATTAGAATGGCTGAACACAGAAGAGCCTCTTTCTGTCTACAAGGATCTGTGCGGAAAAGTAGTCATCCTTGATTTCTTCACCTACTGCTGCATAAACTGTATTCACCTGTTGCCTGATCTTCATACATTAGAACACACATACTCTGATGAAGGTATCTGCCCTTTAATTGGTTTCTAACAGACTGTCCTGGCATAGGCACCGGAGGAGTAGCTGACTCATTTGCTCATAGGAAAATGAACATTTGGCAAGACTTCAATGATTCTAAAAGTAATTTGTAATCTATGATTTAAGGACTTCATGTACCTTCTCATGAAGAGTTAAGCTTAGTGATAATGGTTTGCCTTCCTAAAGAACCAGCATTTAGTACATTTTTTTCCTAAGGTTTAAGGACATAATTTACTTTCTTATGATCAAGTATTTTTAAAAGTTCATTTTGTATATTTAGACTTACCTAAATTTTTCCTATGAGAAAATGAAACTTGTGACTCTAATCTTACACTCTTCTCACTAAGATATAAAGGTTTGAAGTTCTTATTAGGAAATGTGATTAGGCTTCCTTTAATTTCAGATGACATGAACTACAGTGGAATGCCAAATATTATAGCAGATACTTTTTCTGTGACCCTGCTTTATTAAAAAATGATTTAGAAAGGTTAATGTTTTCCAAAGCACACTAGGAAATCCTCTTTTATGGTATTACAAATTCTGAAGATGTAAGAGATTACTTAGTATTTGCTTTAGAACTTTGAAATATTTTCAGATCTTTTTTCTCTTGTTTTCTTTCTGAAAAGGAGAGCATATGGGGTGAATGCAACTAATTAAAGGTTCCATTTAATTAGTCTTAAATTAATTGAAGCTCCACAGTTGGAGTGATAAAAAGAAGAGGGGATCAATGATCTTAGAGTAAAAATGAGATTGGAGCATTGAAAGATAACTTAGTTTTTAAAAAGGAGTAATTTTTAAAAAGGAGTAATAGATTAAAATCTTCAGTACCAGTAGAACCCCTGATGCTTGTAAATTGTAATACATTCTCTCTTGAAATTGCCAGTGAGATTTATCAAGAACTCCGGTATTCCTGGTAGCTAAGTCATGTTTTCATAAATTTATCTGTATTAATTTGAGAAATAAGAGTATCTCATTACCTCCTGGTTTTGGATGCCTGTGTGTCTTGGTCAAGCTCATGTAAGTAAGTGCATTTATTGAACATGTAGTATGTGCAGGGTACTCTGAACTGCCGAGGAAATATGTACCAGGAGTTGAATACAAAGCATTATGGAACCTGAAGAAAGGAGGAATTCACTTTGCCTAGAAGCATTGGAAAAGATTTCTCAGAGGGGGGAGACAGTTAAGCTGGAACTTGAAAAATGAGCAGGAGTATGGCTGAAAATGAAAAGGGAGCCGGAGGAAGCTGGCTGAGGAAGTGACAGGTAAATAAGCAGGGAAGCATGGAAGAGTAGGCTTCTTGGGGAGAGGTTAGGGTTAGGGTTCAGTGTGGCAGCATTGTAGCGACTTCTGGGAAGGTGAGTTAGGTTCTGACCAGTTGTGAAAGGTTTTGTTATTAAGAATGAACGTTTCTTAATAGCTTAGCCTTTGTCTTCCATTGAAGATACAGAGAGATATTTAAGGTTGTTTTTGATTTGTTACAGCAAATTGTGACAAAAAATTATTTTACATACAAATACACTTCTGAGAAGTAAGATACTTGAAGTGATCTCAACACTATAACGTCAAGGAAACATTACTTCAGTAATGTGCTACTTTATGAAAAAGCTGGTAACATAGAAATATTTTTACATTACAAGGACCCATTTCAAGAAGTTCTTAAATTTGCTTCACGTGTGGGATTAACCAGTTAAATTAACCAACTACAGTCTTCTGGAGATTATCTTAAATATGGTCAATTAACTTAATCGGTTGGTAATGCTGGTAAAATAGAGATATTTTATATTTTTAAAAATATACATTCAATTCATATACACAAAAGCAGGTGTACCCAGAGATATCACATAAAAGTTCAATAAGCTGTCACTAAGTTATTTTGCTTTCTTACAGCAATGTATCTTGTATCATTACTATCTACTATGTTTCTGAACGTTTTTGCAGCAAGGTTAATAGTTCTTGAAGTGAGATTCAGCAGCCTATTTTAAATTCCTTGGAATATTCAGTTCATTTTATCAGTAAGCCAGAAATGCTCAGCTAAGTGAGGAAGTGCTTATTAATTCTAAAACAGCCTGAAAATGATCCAAATTAATACCCAGTCTCTTTCCTTTGTAAAACAGCCTTTAAATCAAATTTGTAATGGTGACCAGTATCATTTTCACAATAGCAGGAGACATTATAAATGCCAGAGTATAAAGTAAACAGATATTTAATAGTAGTGAATGGTTCTGGTCTTTAGATATTTAAGAATGTAGCTGTGCCCAAAGCTTGTTATTAATAATGATTTAGCACGTTAACATTAAACGGACTGGTACCTCAGGTTTTAGGATTTTTTTTTCTGTTTCTACTTGTGAGTTTATAATTTGTCTTTTTATACTAGATGCATTAATGGTATGTTATTATGTAATACCCAAATTTAGCACAATGGCTATTAAGGAAAGGTACTCTTGAGTTATAAGAAAACATCTATTAGGAACACGACACATTTTAAAATGTGACTGCTAGGTATATGTTAATGTATAATTATATCAGACTTTTTTTTTTAAAGATTTTATTTATTTATTTATGAGAGACACAGAGAGAGGCAGAGACATAGGCAGAGGGAGAAGCAGGCTCCCTGTGAGGAGCCTGATGGGGGATTAGATCCCAGGACCCTGGGATCACGACCTGAGCCAAGGCAGATGCTCAACCACTGAACCACCTAGGTGCCCCTGATTAAATCAGACTTAACCTAATGCCATGGTACTACAGGATAATTGCTGGTACTCTCACTATGTAGTAGATACATTTTTCTGTTTTATGCTTTTTTAAAAATTAGAAGAATGCAGTTCTAATTTTATAATAAAACTAAACCTTTCAGTGAGTCCATTTATAATTCGATTGTCAAAGTTCCCAGTACCATCCCCAGGTTCCTTAATTCTTTAGGAGGACTCGCAGCTCTAACTTGATACAGCTAAAGGATACAAAGTGAAAGCAGCAAAGGGAAAAGGTGCTTGGGTGAGGCTAAGTCCAGAGGAGACAAAACATAGGCTTCCTCCTCTCTTAGTGGAATCATACAAAACAACTTAATTCCCTAGCAAGGAGTTGTTACAGCACATTTGAAATGTTACCAGGGACTCTCATTAGAGACTCAGCAACCAAGGTTTTTATTGGGGGCTGCCTAAATAGGCAGCTTCTGCCTGGTGGTATGTATGTTAATTCTCATCTGCATACATTTTATATATTTTTTTGCAGCAGTCCATATATATTATTTTGTTTTTAAATAGATGAAGTATGGGCAGCTGGGTGGCTCAGCAGTTTAGCGGTACCTTCAGCCCAGGGCATGATCCTGGAGACCCAGGATCGGGTCCCACGTCGAACTCCCTGCATGGAGCCTGCTTCTCCCTCTGCCTCTCTCTCTCTGTGTGTCTCTCATAAATAAATAAAAATCTTTAAAAAAAATAAGTAGCTGAAGTATGATGGGAATATTGGTCAATTTATGACAGACTAGTTCTAGGATGTTTCAGGAGAGACACAGGGCAACGTAAGTTTTTGAAATTCTAAAAAAAAATTCACATTTGGCTCTGTGCTTTAGTGTTCAGTGATTCAGATCATTTCGTGTTTCCATTGTTTTTTAGTATAAAACCTAAATTCTTACCTCTGCATATGCTTTTCTTCTTCCCTCAGGGTGTTCTAGCCTTAGTTCCTCAGGGTCACTGTTCCTCTTGACTTAACTCAGTGGTCACTCTGCTTGGAATACCCTTATGCTTTCTTGCTTAGTAAAGTATCATGTTTGTCTTTTAGATCTTAGAATGTCTCCATTTATAATTTTGTAACATGTAAAACTCAACTGTTTTCAATCCTTGTATTTAACTAGGTTATTACAGTGTTTGTGATTAAACTATGCTTTCTACTATATATTATTATAAATATAACAATTTTGTATATATTGCTATATACAATTGTAATCTAGTACAATTCTATATATCTACATCTCTCTGAAAAATAAGACCTTTGAAGCTTTTAAAATGATTTTTTGAATTTGTTATTACTAATATTTTATAAGCAGTTATTTTTTTTCCTGTTTTTTTTTTAATAAATTAATTTTTATTGGTGTTCAATTTACCAACATACAGAATAACACCCAGTGCTCATCCCGTCAAGTGTCCCCCTCAGTGCCCGTCACCCATTCACCCCCACCCCCCGCCCTCCTCCCCCTCCACCACCCCTGGTTCATTTCCCAGAGTTAGAAGTCTTTATGTTCTGTCTCCCTTTCTGATATCTCCCACACATTTCTTCTCCCTTCCCTTATATTCCCCTTCACTATTATTCATATTCCCCAAATGAATGAGAACATACACTGTTTGTCCTTCTCCGATTGACTTATTTCACTCAGCATAATACCCTCCAGTTCCACCCACGTTGAAGCAAATGGTGGGTATTTGTCGTTTCTAATGGCTGAGTAATATTCCGTTGTATACATAAACCACATCTTCTTTATCCATTCATCTTTCGATGGGCACTGAGGCTCCTTCCACAGTTTGGCTATTGTGGACATTGCTGCTAGAAACATCGGGGTGCAGGTGTCCCGGCGTTTCATTGCATCTGAATCTTTGGGGTAAATCCCTAACAGTGCAATTGCTGGGTCGTAGGGCAGGTCTATTTTTAATTCTTTGAGGAACCTCCACACAGTTTTCCAGAGTGGCTGCACCATTTCACATTCCCACCAACAGTGTAAGAGGGTTCCCTTTTCTCCGCATCCTCTCCAACATTTGTTGTTTCCTGCCTTGTTAATTTTCCCCATTCTCACTGGTGTGAGGTGGTATCTCATTGTGGTTTTGATGTGTATTTCCCTGATGGCAAGTGATGCAGAGCATTTTCTCATGTACATGTTGGCCATGTCTATGTCTTCCTCTGTGAGATTTCTCTTCATGTCTTTTGCCCACTTCATGATTGGATTGTTTGTTTCTTTGGTGTTGAGTTTAATAAGTTCTTTATAGATTTTGGAAACTA